TGTTTAATTATTGTTGTTGATTTATTTGGTATTTTAATTATTCTACTAGTTTAATTCAAATTTTATGGGGTGGGTTGGATTACGGATGGGGGGGATGGAATTGTTTTAACTGCTGTCTTGTTTTAACTTTGTATGCCTCCTCAATTGCCTTGCAGAGGGGCAGGCTAAAAATAAATACTTATTATTATTATTATTATTATTATTATTATTATTATTATACATTTCTAATATAGACAATAGGAATATATAGATTAATCAATTTCTTCTACCTCACTGTCAAGAAGTTCTTTCTTTTTTAAAGAAAGGTTTATTGAGTTCTCATATAAAAGAAACATAAGAACTTACAAACACTACCAACACACATAGAATTACATGAATACATACATTTACAAATCCACAAACAATAAGACTATAAAACAATACATTAAACAATACAATACCAACAAGACTAACACCAAATTCTAAAAAAAGGACTTCCAAAATCAAAAGTGATGGTTATACTTTCCTTTAGTCAATACTCCCCTTTTTTCCGATAAACAGAGTAAATTTTCCTATAACCATCATCTTATCTGATTAACTAAGGGGGGTTGCAGACTGCCAGAAATAGTGCAAATTGAGTCCACTTTTAGGGTTAGGGTTAGGGTTAGGGAATCATGGGAACTGTATTTTATTGTGGCACCAGAGCTCTCTGACAGAGAAGGCTCAATGACTCAGAAAAAAAAAACAATTCCCATGGTTCCCTAGCACTAACCCTAACCCTAAAAGTGGACTCAATTTGCACTATTTCTGGCAGCCTGCAACCCCCTTCCTTCTAATTTCAGATAAATCAATGAATAGAATGGGAAATCTTTGTCAAGGATCTAATAATTCTAAAGTATATCTTCTCAGATCCCAATTCACAAAATTGCTAATAATTTTCTGGTTAATCATGAGAAAAATAAAGAAAAAGTTCCTTTTTGTATAACTCCATGATATATTATTATTATTAGATTTAACCATAAAGACAGGTTGATGTCCTCCTGTTTTGGAGGTTAAGGTCCATCAATTCATAGAAAGTCAATATTCCTCTTCCAATTCCAGAGCTTCTTTTAAAGCTTCCAAAACTGGGTTCCAGTCTTCAACAAATTTCTCTAATGAGTTAAATCTAATTAAATGTGTCAGTCATAGAGGGCCTCGGCAGACAGCTTAAAAAGTCGTCCTTGGCGCAGGGAAGGGGAGGGGAGGGGCAGCTGCACGCTCGGCGCCCCATCTCCCTCCTGAGGTTGTCCTCGGAGCCGCTGGCCCTCCACACAGCCAGCGCTCCGAGGAGGACGTCCCGCCGCAGCATCTGGACATGCTGCGGTAGAAGGGTCGCTGAAAGTGTGCCTCAACATTTTGGGGTGCACTTTCAGTAACATATGAAAGGAGCGCTATTTTAGCGCTCCTTTCCAGGGGCGCCGACTGTGCGCTGCTGGATCGAGGCATGGGGATGCCTCAGTCCCACGGCGCACCTTCCCAGGGCGGCCCATGGCTGCCCTTCTGCTTAGGCCCTAGAGTTTCCACCTCCAATCTAAAATAGATGGGATCTTTTCTGATTTCCAAAATTTTGTGGACTATTCTAGCCGCTGTTAACATAAAATTAAACTCTGCCATATTTCTCTCTAACTCCTGGTAAATCATACCAAGGAGAAAACATTTAGGGGTTTCCCTCAACTCTATTTGAATGATATCTCTAATACTTTTTTGAATTTCATCCCAAAACTCCCTAGCCTTTGGACATAACCACCATATGTGTATAAAAGTTCCTTTCTCTTTAACGCACTTCCAGCAGCAATCATTAGCATTCTTATACATATGAGCTATTTTTTCTGGCGTCATGTACCATCTATACTGCATTTTGTAGTATTGTTCTTTTAAGCCTGTACAGACCATATATTTAAGTCTTACATGCCAACATTTTTTCCCATTCTTCTAACAAGATGGGTTCTCTAAAGTATTTTGCCCATCTTATCATGCATTCCTTAACCACTTCAGTTTCTTTCTAATGTTGAGGTGGAATCTCCTTTCCTGTAGCTTGTATCCATTACTCCATGTCTGAGGAGCTTATTGCATTACCTTTTAAGTTGACTGCAGCCTAACGGGATGCAGCTGGGATGCAGCATAAGGTGGGAATTATTGCACTGTAATTTGCCACTGAATCCACTGGGTGACTACAGCCCGGGTCCCAGCAGCACTCGCCAGCTGCTATTAAAACTCAGGAGCTTTCCGTTTTTAAAACAGGGCTGGCTGAATGTGGCTGGGACCCAGGCTGCAGTAGCCCTGCAGATTCAGCAGCAAATTACAGTGCGATAATTTCCGCCTCCATGCCACATCTCGACTGCATCCCATTAGACTGCAGTTGATTTAAAAGGTAATTTGATAAGCTCCAGAGTCTCTGGAGCAGCAGAAAACAAGCTTGCTCCAGCCTCACTATGACATCCCTTCAAATATTTAAACATGGCTATCATATTACCTCGTATCCTTCTTTTCTCTAGGTTAAACACACCCAGATTCCTAAGAAACTCCTCACAGGGCATAGACCTTTCAGAGAAAATATATGCAATTTTAAAAAGAGTTTCCCTTACAGATTCCAAGTCACTTTACTGTTGCTTTAGGAACTTCATATGCCTTGGCTAGGATCCACATTTTCTAAAATTCATACACATCTCACACTACCATGTTATTTATGGAGATACTGGCTTACATGCCTTTCAGGCCATCCATAAGATTGGATAGGAGAGAGGCTGGAATAATAATAATAATAATAATAATAATAATAATAATAATAATAGGCAGTAAACAGGACTTCTGAAAAGAAAGGTTTATTGAGATGGAATATATGCAAGGTAGAAAATGCTTATATTATGACTCTTTAACAGACTTCTTCTTCCTCCTTTGAACAGATGCCTCCTTCACCCTCTACAACCTAATATCCCATACAGGACTTCTTTCTCCTCCAGCATAACCGATGTATTTCAGTCATTATGAACAACTTGGTTTGTTCATAACATTAGAATATCTGTGTATATTGACTCTAGACATTCCTTTGAACATCAGTTACAGATTTATTAATTGAATTAATTTACAAATAGTGGATTGTTTGCTTTTAGAAATTTGCAGATGGAGTGGCAAGATGCTGAATTTCTCTCTCTCTCTCTTTCTCTTTTGCCAACTTACATGAAACAAACAAGAGATTAATGCTGAAAACAGGGGGAAGAAAACAACATGGCCATAAACCAAAGCTGTAACATGTTCTACACTGCCAGCACTTGGAACATTAATTTGATAATGTTAACTGTTAGAAACTGAAAAAATAATTCACTAGCATTTTGCTGTTGTTAACTGTCCTTAAGTCAATCATTATTTTTGGGTTTTTTTATGTTCAACATTAAGCCTGTCTTTGCACTTTCTTCTTTGATCTTCCTTAGTAGGTGTTCCAGGTCTGTGAGGTTTTCTGCTAGTATTATGGTATCATCTGCATATCTTAGACCAGGGGTAGGCAACCTAAGGCCCGGGGGCTGGATGCGGCCTCCCAAGGCCTTTGGACCGGCCTCAGGCCAGTCCTGCCGCCACTGCCGCCGTCCCCCCACTGCCGCCGCCACCCACCATGATGATATTGATTATTGTTATTACTTGTTCTTGGGGTTTTCTTGGCAAAATCTCCACAGGGGTTTTGCCATCATGGCTTTTCTGGGGCTGAGACAGTGTGCATGCATCCCCGCTTGTTTGTGGGCCTGCCTTCCAGTCATTTCCAGGATGATAATGATTATTGTTGTTATTACTTGTTCTTGGTGTTTTTTTTGGCAAAATCTCCACAGGGCTTTTGCCATGGCTTTTCTGGGGCTGAGAGAGTGTGCATGCATTTTTTTTAAAAAAAAATCATTTTTATTTATTTATTTATTCATTTATTTATTGTGCTTCGGCCCCTTGATTGTCTGAGGGACAGCAACTGCTGATATTTCTTCCTCCTATTTTCACTCCTCCTTCTTCTGTGTCCAAGCCTGCTTTTCTTATAATATGTTCTGCATACAAGTTGAATGGATAGAGTGAAATTCACTAACATAAACATGAATAATTGCAATCACTTAATTTGGTATGTTATCATTATTTAATTAATTGCTGGGGCCTGACCATGGGATTTTCAGAGAATGGCATGGAGGTTGTTCCTGTTGACTTTAAGGGAGCACATTCTATTAATGCATCCTTCCAAAAGGTTCTTTTTGTCCTTTCACAGTTGCCTTACTCCAATTTGGTATTTTTTCTCACATGGACTACAAAGTTTGGCTGCAAACTGAGCACATTTGGGAACTGTAATTTTAAGGAAGGCTGTCCCAAAGCATGGAATCTCATCTTGCAACCTTTTCAGTTCAGTTTGTCACTCATCGGCACCACTGTTTTCTTTCCATCCCCATCAACATGCACACTTCTCTTACTCCTCAAATGCCTTTTTTTAGTTTATTTTTTTTTAAATGCCTTGTTTCTTCAAGGTTAATGATGGATGACTTATTTGAATTAGAGGACACTGATCCACCACAAATACAGCAACAAATGGATAGCTACAAAGATCAGTCAGTGAATTAAGAATTGCAGAATTCTTCATCTGAAATTTTTGAGTCTCTGAACATATACGGAAAACTAGGGGAAGCGTTTTCACTTAAGGCCTAAGCAGACTGCCAGAAATAGTGCACATTAAAATGAGGCACTGCCCTGGCTCAGTGCTAGGGAGTCATGGGAATTGTATTTTTTTCTGAGACATTGAGCCTTCTCTGTCAGAGAGCTCTGGTACCACAATAAATTACAGTTCCCATGATTCCCTAGCACTGAGCCAGGGCAGTGCCTCAATTTAATGTGCACTATTTCTGGCAGTCTGCTTAGGCCCTTAATTAGCCAAGAACCTAGAACTGTGTAATACAAAGGAGTTCATTGCAGCTCACCTAAACAATATTATAATGTACATTATATAATGATATATAGTAGAATCAGCCAGTGTGGTGCAGTGGTTTGAGGATAGGACTATGATTCTGGAGACCAGGGTTCAAATCCCTGCTCAGCCATGGGAATCCACTGTCATGATCTTGGGCAAGTCACACTTTCTCAGTGTCAGAGGAAGGCAAAGGTAAATTCTCTTTGAACAAATTATGCCAAGAAAAGAGGGTTGCCTTAAGTTGGAAATGACTTGAAGGCCTCCCACCTCACCACTCCTCCTCCTCCTCCATATCAGCAGTGCCACCCTACTGGTAACAGCAGTCCCTCATGAGGCTTGGCTGCTCTCTTAAGAGTAGTCTTGGGCAGGGTCTAATAGGCTATAGAATATTCTCTTGTGTTGTCATGTGCCAAGTCATTTCCAACTTTAGGCAACCATAAGGTGAACCTAACATGGGGTTTTCTTGGCAAGATTTGTTCAGTTTGTCTTTGCCTTCCCTTGAGGCTGAGAGAGTGTGACTTGTCCAAGGCAACCCAGTGTCCAAGGCAACTCCATGGCCAAGAAGGAATTCAAACCTTGGTTTTCAGACTCCTAGTCCACATCCAAAGCACTACACCATGCTAGCTCTCATGGTCATAGTCTTTTGTACCCCATTCTTAAAAGGACATATTCTTGCATAAAGAACATATATCTCACTAAAGATGCCAGCCCTCATGTATCTACTGCTTTAGATTTGTTTTGTTTGGTTTTACTTCTTCATACTGAATGTGGCCCTTCTGTTGTGTCTGATCAGGCCAAAGCACAACACAGAGCATATATTCATTGTACCACAAGAATAGATTTAAACTCCCATATAGATGTAAATGAAATTTTCTTGTCTCTAAGTTCACAAAACTTGATAACAGAAGGTGGTATGACATGTTACTCAGGAACACTATATGGGATAATGTCACTTTTTTTTTTTTTTTTGAATACTAGGTAATTCTTTAGTGTTCAAACTGTTTTAATTTCAGAGAAAGTTAAATTTTGGGCAATATAATTTCCATAACTTAAAAACTGTTGAAATGAAAATATATGCCCCTTCACTTTATTCTTATTTCATTATCCTAATACTGGAAATCACAAGCCGCTAGTTCACCATTTGTTTGAAGAGAGGAGACTAACAGAAGGCATGCCTTGAAAAAGAAGCCAAGCAGCTTACAAAAATAGAAAAGTACAATTTTTATTTCTTTGGACATATTTGATGGCTAAGAGTTAACTGTATGCAGTAACCTGTATAATGGGGATTGTAATATTCTATCCTTTTTGCTTTATTATGTACTACAAAGTTGTTGGGTGTGGAGACTCCATCCATCAACTCAGCAAAGGATTTTTTTTTAAAAAAATGGTCTGTCTCTTATACAAGTTGAGTTTAAAAACACCTATAAAATCTGGAGTTTGGTTAAGTGGGAAGAATGTCGACGGGCTCATTCATGCATGAAATCTTCTAATGGAACTCAAATATAATTGTAATTGGCTGGTACCTGAAATGCAAAAAATATGTGTAATTTCCATGGTTAGACCAGGGTTAATAAATGAGAAGACAAATCAGCAGGACAGCTTTCATAGAAGCCAAGATGTAAAGGCTCTATATTGCTTTGTACTGAGGAGGAGAATTCAAGATTCTAATACAGCTACAAGACATAGAATGAATATGTGTTTGTCTAAACAAAACAAAAAAAGTGCAAGCTAATTTAGAGTTGCACTTGGTAAAAGTATGAACAGAAATACAGCATCAGGAGAAGAGGAAATATTTTAGGCAATGTCCTCATAGCTGTTGTTTGAGAGGGTCTATAATTTGATAAAAAGGTGGATGGAGGTCTGCAGTACTATGAGAGCCAGTGTGACATAGTGCTCATGTGCTGGACTACAACTCCGGAGACCAGGGTTCAATTCCCAGCTTGGTCATGAAACCCACCAGGTGACCTTGGGCAAGTCACATGATCTCAGCCTCAGGGGAAGGCAATGACAAACCTCTGAACAAATCTTTCCAAGAAAACCTCATGATAGGGCCACCTTAGCATCACCATAAGTCAGAAATGACTTGAAGGCACCCAACACACACACACACACACACACACTGTAGTACCAAGAATGCAAAGACAAATAAAATAGGCAGTAGTTGAGATAGTTAGATGATAGATAGATCAATAGATACCAGTGGAGGGCAGGCAGATAGATGGGGAGGCAGGTAGATCAGTTTCTAACAGAAAGGAGAAAGAGAAAGAGGCTTTCTAGGCA